TTTTGTTTGTTTGTTTTTGAGACGGAGTTTCGTTCTTGTTGCCCAGGCTGGAGTGCAATGGCTCGATCTCGGTTCACCGCAACCTCCGCCTCCTGGGTTCAGGCAATTCTCCTGCCTCAGCCTCCTGAGTAGCTGGGATTACAGGCACGCGCCACCATGCCCAGCTAATTTTTAGTATTTTTAGTAGAGACGGGGTTTCACCATGTTGACCAGGATGGTCTCGATCTCTTGACCTCGTGATCCACCCGCCTCGGCCTCCCAAAGTGCTGGGATTACAGGCTTGAGCCACCGCGCCCGGCTGTAATATATAGTTTTTATATTTGTTTTTTCTCTGTAAGACTGTAAACTAATTGAATAACTGTAATTAATCTTTCTTCTTTCTCTTTCCTTCTCTCTTTCTTTTTCTTTCTCTCTCTTTTCTTTCTTTTTGCTTTTTTTTTTTTTTTTTTTTTTTTTTGACACAGGGTCTATCTCTGCCATCCAGGCTGAAGTGCCCTGGCACGATCACAGCTCATTTCAGCTTTGACCTCCTCAGGCTCAGGTGATTCTCCCACCACAGCCTCCTGAGTAGCCGGGACTACAGTTGCACACCATCATGCCCAGCTAATGTTTGCATTTTTTCGTAGAGATAGAAGTCTCACTATGTCCCTCAGGCTGTTCTCAGACTCCTAGGCTCAAGCAATCCACCTGCCTCGGTCTCCCAAAGTGCTGGGATTACAGGTGTGAGCCACCGTGCCTAGTCTTGTTTTGCTCGCTATTATACCTTTAGTGCCTGGCATATGGTACATGCTCATACAAATATTCATTGAATTTAATGAATGACCTTTGTGAACATTCATCTTATTTTGTATAATTCTCTTAACAACCCACAGCTAAGCAAGGTAGGCATGTGAAGCCCATCACCAGATAAGAATATTTGAGGTTTGACACCACATGTTCTCACTCATAGGCAGGTGTTGAACAATGAGAGCACATGGATACAGGGAGGGGAGCATCACACACTGGGGTCTGTCGGGGGGAAATAGGGGAGGAACAGCAGGGGGTGGGGAGTTGGGGAGAGATAGCATGGGGAGAAATGCCAGATACAGGTGATGGGGAGGAAGGCAGCAAATCACACTGCCACGTGTGTACCTATGCAACAATCTTGCATGTTCTTCACGTGTACTCCAAAACCTAAAATGCAACGAAAAAATAAAGAAAAAAGAATATTTGGGGTTTGAGAGTAGGGTGAAGCACTTTGTTCAAGGTCATAAGCTTTTGTGTGACAGAGCGGAGCACAGAACTCAGCCGTCCTGATTCCTATTCCAGGGCTCTCACACTACCCTCTACTGACGTGCAGCCATCCTTGAACTTCAGTCTCTCCGACCCATCCTCATCCAGACCCACCCCTAAGAAAGGAGGGGCCCAGGCCAAGAGTACGTGTAGGGGCTCACCCAGCCCATTTCACATTTGGCATGCTGATCGATACTTCTATCAGCAAGTTACATGCCAAGCAAGCAAACTGTGAAATAAGTCTGTTCTACCTTAACATATACATGCCTTCAGAATTGTTAGGCTGGTTCACAGGCAGGATTCGCAGACTTCCTGCCGCTGTGAGCAGAACATCGCACAGCCAGGTTGCCATGTGAACCTGAGGTGTGCTCGATTGCTCGATCCTCTCTTCCCACCCCTGGTCCTCTGTTTCATTCCTATAGGCTTCACGTGCACTTTTTTTTTTTGAGACAGAGTCTTGCTCTGTTGCCCAGGCTGGAGTGCAGTGGTGCAATCTCGGCTCACTGCAACCTCCACTTCCCAGGTTCAAGTGATTCTCCTGCCTCAGCCTTCTGAATAGCTGTGATTACAGGTGTGCACCACCACGTCTGGCTAATTGTTGTGTTTTTAGTAGAGACAGGGTTTCACCATGTTGGTCAGGTTGGTCTTGAACTCCTGACCTTGTGATCCATCTGCTTTAACCTCCCAAAGTGCTAGGATTATGTGCATGAGCCACTGCACCTGGCCCATGTGCACATCTGTAGATACCCCTCCTGCGTAAGTCCTGCCCCTCCCCAGTAAACAACTACCCCTTGGGACCAGACACACGCTTGATGCAGCCTTGGGAGAATGGACCTGAGGAAGAGGCCATATAGGCCTGAAGGTGGGCCTAGGGTGAAACGGGCAGGAGGCCGGGGTCCTGCGAACCTGAGCATGGGAAGATGGGCTGCTGCAAAGGGTGCTTCCTGGACTTCCCAGACTCTGTCCTGCGGAGAGAGGTGAAGTTGGAGAAGGCCCAGAGTGGGGCCCTCCAAAGTTGGGGCCTGCTTTGCCTAGGTCTAAGGATAGTTCTGAGCCTACCTCTCCTGGTCCCCAAACCAGACTGTAAGCCTATTGAGGACCTAGGCTAATTTTCTCCCTCCTCTGGAGGGTGTGTGGTGTAACTGGAGATGACAATTTCAGTTGGAGTTGAGCCTGATGGACATAAATGAATCTCTCTGGCTTCTTTATCTGTGAGAATTGGTTGAGATAATCTTTAAAATCGACTTTAAAGTCTTGCACACACACACACACACACACACACGTGCACACACTCTCCTACCTCCAAGGACCAATCATCCCCTCTGGGTCTGCAGAGGCACACCACCTACCAGCTGGACTGGGAGCCTGGGAGGTGGTTTCCCAGACGCGGAGGCAGAATGTCCTAAATCCTAACAGAAATAAAGTTTTGTTTTATGCCTTCAGATCTTGGAGACCAAGGTACCCTAGGGACCTCACTTTCCTTAGAGAGGTGGTGCCCATGAGACATTCCTATTATCTCAAAGTTCCAATTTTTTTTTTTTTTTTTTTTTTTACTTCCAACTGATGTCAATCTCTTAATGGCAGAGCAAACACTATTGTCTTTTTGTTGGCAGATAATGGAGAGGGAGCCTCCTATATTTTGTTTTGAGATGAAGTCTCGCTCTGTCGCCGAGGCTGGAGTGCAATGGTACTCCGCCTTCTGGGTTCAAGTGATCCTTCTGTTTCAGCTGAGATTACAGGTGTGTGCCACCACACCCAGCTAAATTTTTTTTCTAATTTTAGTAGAGACAGGGTTCTCCATGTTGGCCAGGCTGGTCTTGAACTTCTGACCTCAAGTGATCCACCTGCCTTGGCCTTCCAAAGTGCTGGGATTACAGATGTGAGCCACTGCGCTGGTGATGCAGCCTCTTTTCTCTGATATCGAGAGGGGTCTAACGTAGACGGCAGCTTGCAGGGGGCTGAGGCCAAATCTGAAGACCAAACCTCTTCACTGGTGGAATGCATGCTCTGGCTCAAATCAACAAGTGTTTACTGAGGGCTTATGGGGGGCCATGGGAAATCCTAAGCAGGACAGCACCAGATTTCGACTTCATATGCATTTATTGGGGGTGGGGTGGGGGATGTGTGTGCAAAGCATCAATTCATAAAAGGTAAAACAACACAACAGGACAAGACCATTCAAGAGTTGGACAAAGGCGGTGGTTTGTGGTCAAATGTGCTGTTATCCAGAGTTCAGAGAATAAAGAGAAGTGTGTGAAGAAGAGGTACCAGATCTATGGCCATGGTGTCCTGGGACCAGGCATAACCGGGCAGTCTCTTAGGTACTTGCCTGCGTGTGCAGGTAGAACCCTCTTTGGGAGACAGGAGCAGTTGCTGTAATAAACAGAGGGGCTGTGTGATGGGGAGGTCATAATAACGTGTAAAAAAACCCCCAGGAACATCAACAAAAGCTGTTAACCTTTATTCTCATTTTCCTTGAAACTACTAGGTTTCAGGTTTCAAGTACCTACCTGTAAGGATCAGGTGGGTACTTACAGAAGAATGCTCCCATCCTATGCTTAGGAAGAACTATTCGCCAAGGGCAAGCCGCCCAGATGGGCTGGAGCTGCAAGGCTGGGCAGCCCCTTCAAGGGCTGGTCCTGGCAGGGGAACCCGACTGAATAGCCACCAGGATCCGTCGGTCAGTGTCATGACTCACATTTTCCACTCTCTGCCATTGTTTTTTTGGACAATAAGATAGTGCCCCACATACACATGGCTAATACCTGCTTGGTGCAAGAATGCCTGAGGATGCAATGATTCAAAACCCCCAATGCCTCCTCCCTAGCCCCTGAAGCTGAAGCCACGGGGCGTCTTCAGAATAACTCGCCTGGCACACAGTAGGTGCTTGACAAATATCAACGCTCTTCTTCCCGTTCCTCCTTCCCCCAGGACTCCAACCTTCAAATGCTCTCTGGGCATCCTCTCCACCCCCAGGAGCGCTACTTTCCCTGAAACAGCCTGGCGGTGCGGGAGTCTCCCCAGCTCCACGCCCACCTATTCGCTTCGGCAGCCGCCTGCTCAAGGCCTGCTAAGCGCCGGGTCCCGCGGGCCTCCCAGGCCCTGAGCCCGGGGTCGCTTCCCGAGGACCCGCAGAGGTGGCCGCACCTTCCGAAGGCAGGAAGGCGGGGGAGAGCTGCGTGCGCTCTGCTCGCCCCTGCCCTGCGCGCTGGGCTCTCGCGCCGGAGTCCGACTTGCCCGGCTTTGTTCCCTCCGCAGCTGGAGGCCGTCCTGAGAGCGCGGCGCCCCACACACCTGCTGCCCGCACGGAGTCGGCGGGAGAGGAGGAGCGAGGGCGGCGAGAGGCCCCCTCCCCGGGCTTGCCGGCCTACCCCGCTCCGAGCGCCCCGGGCAACGCGCGGGGGCACCAGGGCGGCGGGACCCAGGGGTGGGTGCGGGTCGGGCGGCACCGCCCGGCCCGGGCCCCCGCGCCCCTCGCGCCCCCTCAGGGAGGCGGGTCCTGGGGGAGGGCTGGGCCCCGCCGCCCTCGCCGCCTTCGCCTGCTCTGCCGCCCCGCAGTCAGGCAGCAGCAGGCGCCTGGCCGGCCGGGAGGGGGTGCTCGCCGCCCCGCGCCCGGGCCCGCGGCTCCGAGGCTCCGAAGGGGGCGGAGCGGCGAGGCGGGCGTGCGGCTGGCGCCCCTGTCCGCGGTTCCGGCCCGGCCCGCCCCCGCCTCGCCGGCCTCTCTCCGCGCCGGTGCGCGGCGCCCCGTCCCAGCCGCAGTCGCAGCGGCCGCCCCGCCCGGACCCGAGAGCTGCGGAGCCGCGAGGCCGGGCCGGGGCGCCGGCCGGGAATGCCGGGGGCGCGGCGCCGACGCCGAGGCGCGGCCATGGAGGGGAAGCCCCGCGCCGGGGTCGCGCTGGCCCCGGGGCCGAGCGGTCGAGGGCCTTCCGCCCGCCGCCGCCGCCGCCGCCGCCGCCCGGGGCTGCTGCTCCCCGGCCTCTGGCTGCTGCTGCTGGCCCGGCCGGCCTCGTGCGCCCCAGGTAAGCCCCGCCGAGACCCTCGGGACGCGGCCGCGACCCCGCCTGCCTTTATCGCTGCTGTTTTCAAAACCCCGGCTTTCCCCGCCCATCCTCTTTTATTCTCCGGCTCCCTCGCTGTCCTTTCTGGAAGATGCTTTGCCATTCTTCTGGGGCCCAGCAAATAAAGGCACGGGGGAAATAAATAATTAAAAGGAGCAAGCGAGCGGCTTCTGGCCGGTCTTGCTAAGGGGTCTGCAAAGCTCTTCTCTTGTCCGTGGAGCCCGAAGCGGCTCTAGTGGCTTCGTCTCCGAAATGTGCCTGGTTTTTCCTGCAGAATGCAGGCAACGGACTGCTGTTTTGTGCAAGGCTGTATGATGTGGCATATCGAATGTTTTGAGATACTTTATTGTCGGGGCGATGGGGTGCCGTAACACAGTATTGCATTCAGGGTGTGCTTTAACACAGTATTGCGTTACTGGGACTAGCCCAGCGTCCCCCAGATGCGGGCAGGCCGGGACCCCAGTGTAGCAGGACACAAAGAACATTCAAAGAAAACCTCTTGGAAAGCGCCCTGGGCACGGATCTTTCCAGGGAAATAGCGATTGGTATTACTTCTGCAAGGCATTATTAGTACAATGGAGTGTGAAAATATTTTGATTCTTAAGTGTCAGGGCATGAAAGGAGTAAGGGCTGTTTTTAACACAGATTCATTTTAGTGACTGTTCTTCAGTGTGGAACGAAGAGGCACGATTTATGAAGAAGCATGAGGGTTTTGTTGTGGAAGAAATGATTGAATTCCTATTGCTTCTCCAACGTGTTTGTCTACCCTGAGCCCATACCCAGGATGGTCTGGAAACCATCTCTGAGCTGACACCGCAGGCCAGCGATTGTCCCAGCACAGGCACTTGACCACTCTGAGGCGGAAAAGGAGAGGTGGAAGGAGCAGCTCGGGGTGGAGAGCTGCTGCACACAGAACAAAAAAACAGAAAGCCGGGAACGCTCCTGCGATCCTCCCTTCTCGTGGGAGCAGGGCCAAAGGGCTGCTCAGTGGCTGGCAGGAATTGGAACCCATTTGAAGGTGTTCTTTGGACCAGTGAGAATTATAACCAGTGCCGTAGAGGGGATAGTTCAATAGAAGCACAGGGAGGACTTCAGGGATCAAGGAACGGGCCACTCTGCTTACCAAAGAGGAAACCAAGGCAGAGAAGCGCCTTGCTCAAGGTCACGGTCATCACCCCCCACCCCCGCGCCCCCCACCAGCTCTTGGCCCATAGACAAATCCACATATCCACACCCGAAGTCTCCGCAAAGGTTTCCCATATCTGGGTGGGACCGGGTTGCGGGTGACAGATGAGTCTCTTTTAGGCAGTGTACAGCTAGTGCAAACACCTTCCTCTAACGTGGCAACTCCCGTCTCAGTTTTGCTCCCGTGAGTTCCAGCCCTGTGTGTCCAGAGAAGATGAGATCGTCGTGAAGGGTTGCTTGGCTTTAGTCAACAAAGAGAGCCCATCTGATACTCGTGGATTCTTCTGTCACAGGACACAGCAGATACCTGGTTTCCACTTCCTGAATGATTTCTGTGTGCCAGGTGTCGAATTTTATATAACGATGCCAATCACGTTGTGAGTCAGGCATAGTTATCCCCATTTTACAGATGAGGAAACTGAGGCGTTGAGTTTAGGTTGGTTTGGCTTCAGACGCTATGACATGCTTCTTATGTGCATGATGCCTTCCCCATGTGAGTGTGGCCATCTGTGGGTACTGCAGAGGTGGAGGAGAATATAAATGCTGCTTCTGGTAACTTTAAAATGAATAGTGGAGCTGTTTGTACTGCCCATTCCTAACTTTCACTTCTTTAGAAGTCCTTTCCTGTTTTCCCTCTCTCCTCAATACAAATATTCAACCTGGAGACATGAAATTAATTATATTTCCATTCTAGAGCTGACATCATAGAAACAGAGACTTCATCCTTTCACTAATTTGTATATTGACTTCAGCTGCTGCCAGGCTCATAGACTGGGAGCTAAGGAGTGGAGGGCATGGCCCTGTGCTCCAGGTTCCAGTTGGAAACAGAGCAGTGAAGGAAATACAAACCCTTGCCCAGACCATTCCTGGGCAGGAAGGCAGGGTTCCTTACGGATGACCTGCTGAAGGTGGCCACATCTGCTTCTTGAAGACTGTGAGGAACGATCGTGGTGGAGGGTGGCTTCCTGATATAGCTAGGCTGTGTGTAGGCTCCTGGGCGGTGCTGTTGTTCCCGGGAGGAGGGTGCATTGCAGTTGCTTGGGCCACAACTCTTCTGTGTGCCTCCAGGACACGTGTGCTCCCAGTCCTAAGTCTGGTATTTTCACCAGGAGATTTGGAAGTTAGGGAGGTTTTGCCGAACACTGTCGTGGTAGTTGGTTCTCTCTCTAAGGAATAAGCAGTGCTAGTCAGAAAATGACATGGCTTAGCCCTGTTTTGGACTTCCTATGTGAGGCAGCCTGCCCTTCGTGGCTGTCTGAAAGCTATCTCCTCCTTCAGCCGGCTTCTCTTTTCTCGTTAACTTTTGTTCAATAGAGCTCACTTTCCAGGTGGTCCCCTTATTACAGTCTTTGGTTAAATCTCTATGTTGTATCGATTTCTTGTCTATTTCTATTTCATTCAGCATTTTGAATGTGCTTTAAAAAAATTTTTTTTACGAGTTTGGTCTGACTGTTTACTGTTGTGGAAACAACTTGTCATACCTTGGACTTACTTTTGAATGCCTTGCTCTTAAGCGATTAGCCATCCACAGTGTTAAAACAAAGAACACGCCCCATTTCTTCACCTTATTCGGAGGTAAGTTTTAAAAAAATAATAGTTATTATGAAATAGATTGCTTTGTAAGGGATTTAGAAGTTACTGAAAGATACAGAAACCAGTCACCCATAATCTCACAGCCACTAGATAACACTAAATAGTTTTGTTCTCTTTTTGTTAGCATTAAAAAAAGAATTGAATTACCCCACAATTGTGTTTACTACCGTTTTCACTCGACATTTACCTTAAGCATTTTTCCATTCATTAAATCTTACTTGGAAACAACTTTCTATCCTAATGATTCATTTTTTAATTTCCATTTTTTGGGCTGCTATAAGTATTGCTGATGAATAGTTGCATAGAAAAGGCCTTATGTATGTTTCTGTGTGTGTGGGGGGTTTTCTTGAGTATACATTTGTGGAAGGGGTATTAGAGTGTGATTAAAATGTAAGACCCACCAGGCTGGGTTTCTGCATGTTTGTTCCAAATGCTGGGTACCTAGTAGGTACTCAGTATGTGATTATTGAATGAAGCAACGTTTGAAAGTTACAATGCTGACATAAGCCCTTGAGGTTTATGCAGGGGTCTCCCATGATCACTTGCACTGAGTATTATTTCCCTTCATCATTGGCATTGAATGTTACTTTAAAAGCCCTTGTTAAATAAATTTGTAATACATTGTTTTAACCTGCACATTGACTGCTTTACACTTGAGTATTTTTTATTTTGTATTTGTGTTCTGTGAATTTTCCCTGTGCTTTATTCATTTACCTGTTGTGGCATAGATAGGCATTTAAATCTTTATGCATTATAAAGATAGCAAGCGTTTTTCTATTTGTTGTGTTTTCTTCCTTCCAGAGAAATTTCTTATAAATTTTAAATAATTCGGAAAGGTTTTGGTTATTTTGATTAGCAAGACCTGCCATTTGTTCTTTTAACAATTTTTTATTGCATTCATGCTTATAGTGTGTTACTTTTTTTTTTTAATGTGTTACATTTTTATCTTAATGCACTATTTTATTATTGGCCATTTCTAGGTGAATATTTATGCTTTGGGAGTGGTTTAGTATATTATAAACAAATATTTAAATGTTTGGAGAGTGCAGCCCCTAGGCCTCCTGCATCAGCATCATTTGGGGATGTGGGGTGCTTGTTAAGAATTTAGATGCCTAAGGCTCACGCTTAACCTCTAAAGTAACTCTGGCTGGCGGCAGTGCCTAAAATCTTCATTTAACCAGTTCACAGCTCATTTTTAGGCACTGAGCATTGGAACCACTGATCCAGATACTGTAAACCCAGTAACTGAAAATCAGCAGTATTTTGAAGATGTAGTAGTCCTTCCTTATCTGCAGGGGATGTGGTCTGGGACCCTCAGTGGGTGCCTGAAACTTAGGGTGGTATTGAACCCCATATATACCATGGTTTTTTCCTATATGTACCTGCCTGCAATAAAATTTATTTTAAAAATGAGGCACAGTAAGAGATTAACAACAAGAATTAATAACAAAATAGAACAGTTCTAACAATCTGTGTTAACAAAACTTGAATGTGCTGTGTCTCAAAATACCACAAAATATTTTCAGACCACAGTTGACCTCTGGTATCCGAGACCTTGGATGAGGGGGGACTACTGTATACCAGCTTGGAATTGTCTTTTACTGTTAGAACAGTTGATTTTAAATAATTATGTTGAGGCCAGGTGCAGTGGCTCACACCTGTAATTCCAACACTTGGGGAGGCTGAGGTGCAGGGATCACCTGAGGTCAGGAGTTCGAGACCAGCCCGGCCAACATGGTGAAACTCTGTTTCTACTAAAAGTACAAAAGTTAGCTGGGTGTGGTTGCGGGCACTTGTAATTCCAGCTACTTGGGAGGCTGAGGCAGGAAGAATAACTTGAACCTGGGAGGCAGAGGTTGCAGTGAGCTGAGATTACGCCACTGCACTCCAGCCTGGGTGACAGAGCGAGACCCTGTCTCAAAAAAGTAAGAGAAATAAAATGTCGAAACCATTTTCTGTTACATGTTTTTGCTTGGTTTTGTTTGGGTCGGGATTGAAAGGGTGCAGAGGACTGCATTTTCAGTGCTCACTCCTGCCCATTTGGGAACAGCTGCTGCAGTCCCTGTCAGGAAGTGCCTCACTTAATCCTGAAAACAGAACCCAGCCAGGGACTTGTTAAAAGCCGCTAGGGACCTGGGAGCCACAGGTTTTTCTATCAGTGCCCTGAATGACAGAGGCAGCTA